TATCGATTTTTGTGTTTGTATTTTTATGTATATAGTTTATCTATCTTTTACAATGTGTATCAGAGTGTTATGTTTTTTTTCTTTTATGAATGTTTTTTGGTGTGTATGTTTTCATATGTACAATATGTTGGTTTTACTATGTGGTGTATTGTTGTATAATGTGTGTATTTTTCTTTTAGTGTGTTATAGTATGTACTTCTTATGTGAAACAATATGTTTGATTAATGTGTGTTTTTATTATGTGTATCTTTGTGTATTGTGTACTTTTCTTTAATCAATGTATTTTTTTTTTAAATTTTTTTGTGTACACTTTGTGTATGTTTTTCTATGTATTAGTGTTTTGTGTATTTTCTTCGATCAATGCATCTTTCTAGGCTTATTTTTGTGTGCTTCATATTTATCATTGGATGTTATTCATGTCTTTATAGCAGAGTAAATATTAATAGGAATGCATACCAGGGAGAAAACAATAATTTTGCTCTCATTTTTCCAAGCTAAATCTATACCAGAAACTATAGATTTGAATTTTAAGTTCTTCCGCAAGTAAAATTTGATTTATATGTTCTTTTGTATTCAATTTATATCAACATATGCAAGCTATAGGTAAATATTATGCTCTCTTTCCCTTTTTTGATGATTCTTCTTCTTCGTTGAGATGTTCTTTGGCATGTTTGTGATTTGCAATTGGTAGAATTAATGATTACTTGTACATACATGGTTACGTATCAGTGTGTGGTATGTATTTTTCTTTTATCAATGTTTTTTTTGTGTATGCTTTCATATCTACACTCTGTGGATTTTACTATGTGGTGTATTGTTGTATTGTGTGTGTGTGTATCTTTTGGTGTGTTATGGTGTGTGCTTTTTATGTGAAACAGTGTATTTTTATTATGTGTATCTTTGTGTGTATTGTATATTTTATCAATGTATTTATACACTTTGTGTGTGTGTGTGTTTTTTTATTAGTGTGTTGTGTATTTTTCTTCCATCAATGCATCTTTTGGTGTGTTCTGATGTAAAACAATGTGTTTTTATTATGTGTATCTTTGTGTGTACTGTGTACTTTTCTTCTGTCAATGTATTTGTACACTTTATGTGTTTTTCTATATATTAGTGTGCTATGTATTTTTATTCTATCAATGCATCTTTTGGTGTGTTATGGTATGTGTTTTTTTTGTGAAACAATATGTGTTTTTATTATGTGTATCTCTGTGTAATGTGTACTTTTCTTTTATCAATGTATTTGTACACTTTGTGTGTGTTTTTCTATGTATTAGTGTGCTTTGTTTTATTTTTTTTATGAATGCATCTTTGTAGGCTTGTTTTTGTTTGCTTTATGTGTATTTTTTGTGTTTATCATTGAATGTTATTTATGTCCTTGTAGCGGAGTTAATATTAATAGGAGAGCATACTAGGGAAAAAACCATAATTTTGCTCTCATTTTTCCTAGTCAAATCTATATTAGAAACTATAGATTTGAATTTTGAGTTCTCCCGTAAGTAAAATTTGATTTATATGTTCTTTTGTATTCCTTTGGTGATCAATTTATATCAACATATGCAAGTTATAGGTGAATATCCTACGCTCTTCCATTTTTTAGATGCTTATTCTTTGTTAAGATGTTTTTTGACATGTTTGTGGTCTGCAATTGGTAGAGTTAATAATTATTTGTACATACAGGGTTACCTAGGTAGTGAGTTTTGTGCGTATATGTTTTATGTTTTATCAATGATTATTTGTATTTTCATGTGTATAGTTTGTCTGTGTTTAAAAATATGTATCAGTGTGTGATATGTATTTTTCTTTTGTCAATGATTTTGTGTGTTTATGTTTTCATATCTACACTTTGTGGGTTTTATTATGTGGTGTATCGTTGTAGTGTATGTGTATATCTTTTGGTGTGCTATGGTATGCGCTTTTTATGTGAAACAATATATTTTTATTATGTGTATCTCAGATTTTTTTTTATCAATGTATTTGAACACTTTGTGTGTGTTTTTGTGTATTAGTGTACTGTGTATTTTTCTTCTATCAATGCATCTTTTGGTGTGTTATGGTATATATTTTTTATGTGAAACAATGTGTTTTTTGTGTATTAAGATGTGATTTTATTATGTGTATCTTTGTGTGTTTTGTGTACTTTTCTTCTGTCAGTGTATTTGTACACTTTGTATGTGTTTTTTTTGTATATTAGTGTGCTGTGTATTTTTCTTTTGTCAATACATCTTTTGGTGTGTTATGGTATGTGTTTTTTTATGTGAAACAATTATTTTTTTGTGTATTAATATGTATTTTTATTATGTGTATCTCTGTGTGTACTGTGTACTTTTTTTTGTCAATGTATTTGTACACTTTGTGTGTGTTTTTCAATGTATTAGTGTGTTGTATTTTTTTTTCTATCAATGCATCTTTGTAGACTTTTTTTTGTATGCTTTGTGTATGTTCTTTGTATTTGTCATTGGATGTTATTCATATCCTTGTAATGGAGTTCATATTAATAGGAGTGCATGCTAGGGAGATAACCATAATTTTTCTCTCAATTTTCCGTGCCACATCTATATGAGAAACCATAGATTTAAATTTTTAGTTCTCCCGCAAGTAAAATTTGATTTGTATATTCTTTTGTATTCATTTGATGATCAAATTTATATTAGCATATGCAAGTTATAGGTGAGTATCCTGCTCTCTTCTCTTGCTTTGATGATTCTTCTTCTTCTTACTCTTTGTTGAGATGTTCTTTGACGTGTTTGTGGTCTGTAATTGGTGTTGTTATTGATTACTTTTACCTACGTGGTTATCTAGGTAGTGAGTTTTGTGTATATATGTTTTATGTTTTATCAATGATTGTGTTTGTATTTTCATGTGTATAGTTTGTCCGTGTTTAGAAATATGTATCAGTGTGTGTATGTATTTTTCTTTTATCTATGATTTTTTGTGTGTATGTTTGCATACATACACTCTGTGGGTTTTACTATGTGGTTTATCGTTGTATAGTGTATGTGTATATCTTTTAGTGTGTTATGGTATATGTTTTTTTATGTGAAACAGTGTGTTTTTATTATGTGTATCTCTGTGTGTGCTTTGTACTTTTCTTCTATTAATGTATTTGTACAATTTGTGTGTATTTTTTTGTGTATTAGTGTGCTGTGTATTTTTTNATAGTGAGTTTTGTGTTTATATGTTTTATGTTTTATCAATGATTTTGTTTGTATTTTCATGTGTATAGTTTGTCCGTGTTTAAAAATGTGTATCGGTGTATGGTATGTATTTTTCTTTTATAAATGATTTTTTGTGTGTATATTTTCATATNGTAGTGAGTTTTTTGTTTATATGTTTTATGTTTTATCAATGATTTTGTTTGTATTTTCATGTGTATAGTTTGTCCGTGTTTAAAAATGTGTATTGGTGTATGGTATGTATTTTTCTTTTATAAATGATTTTTTGTGTGTATATTTTCATATCTACACTCCGTGTGTTTTACTATGTGGTGTATCGTTGTATAGTATGTGTATATCTTTTGGTGTGTTATGGGATATGCTTTTTATGTGAAANTTAGTGTGCTTTGTTTTTTTATTCTATCAATATATCTTTTGGTGTGTTATAGAATATGTTTTTTTTTTTGTGAAACAATTTATTTTTTATGTGTATTAATATGTGTTTTTATTATGTGTATTTCTATGTTTACTGTGTACTTTTCTTTTATCAATGTATTTGTATCTCTGTGTGTACTGTGTACTTTTCTTTTATCAANACAAGTTATCTGAAAAAGCTTCGTGGTTTCTTGTGGTTTTGTGTTCTGTCAGCATTGCCCTCTCCATTACTTGCTGAAGCGCAAATGTTGAGGGATAGAGAAATGNTGGGGGAGAGAACCATAATCTTGCTCTCGTTTTTACCAAGCCACATCTATATCAGAAACTGTAGATTTGAATTTTGAGTTCTCCCGCGAGTAAAATTTGATTTATATATTCTTTTGTATTTTTTTGGTGGTCAATTTTATATCAACATATGAACAAGTTATTTATATATATGTCAATGAAGATGGTGACGCACCAATGTTTCTTGTAGTGATGTAATTCATTTGCTAAGCAATTGTTGATATTCTGCTCTTTTAGAAATTCTTAACAAACTTGCTTCTTCTTTGCGGTCTTTCTTGACTGCTCTTGTGAAAGGATTGACTTCGCCAAACCATCAAAGAACTGAAACTGGGTTATTGAGTTTAGCTTCAAAGAGCATTGGAACTGCATTGGCTACAAGTCAATTGTTATGGACACTGCCTTACTCTATTCCAGCATCTGGTATTAATCAAGGGAAAGGTGTTGAGGGAAGCAAGTTGTCTCACAGTCCATGGCTGCTTGATACATGGCAGAGCTATTGCAGTTTACTGGAGTATTTTGTAAATTCTTCTTTGCTTCTATCTCCAAACTCTGCATCCCAGGCTCAGCTACTTGTTCAGCCTGTTGCAGTTGGTTTATCAATTGGGTTATTTCCTGTTCCAAGAGACCCAGAGGTGTTTGTCCGTATGCTGCAGTCTCAGGTTCTGGATGTAATACTTCCTGTCTGGAACCACTCTATGTTTCCAAAGTGTAATCCGGGTTTCATTGCCTCTATTGTTTCGCTTGTTACTCATGTATACTGTGGTGTTGGAGATGTGAAGTGCAATCGCAATGGTGGGTCAGGAAGTACAAACCAACGCTATATAGCACCCCCACCTGATGAAGCTACTATTGCCACAATTGTGGAGATGGGTTTTAGCAGGGCAAGAGCAGAGGAAGCACTGAGACGGGTGGAAACAAATAGTGTTGAGACGGCCATGGAATGGTTGTTTAGTCATGTTGAAGATCCTGTTCAGGAGGATGATGAATTGGCACGGGGCACTTGCTTTGTCACTAGGAAGTTCATCGGAGACATCTAAAGTTGAAAGCATTGATAAGTCCATCGATACCCTCAAAGACGATGGACGAACAAAGGAACCCCCTGTGGATGACATTCTTGCTGCAACGATGAAATTGTTTCAGAGTAGTGACTGGATGGCTTTTCCTTTGACTGATTTGTTTGTTACGCTTTGCAGTCAGAACAAAGGTGAAGATCGCCCAAGAGTGATCTCTTATCTTATTCAGGAGCTAAAGCTTTGCCCATTGGAATTTTCTAAGGATGCCAGTGCTTTGTGTATGATATCACATACTTTAGCATTGCTTCTTTCTGAAGATGGAAGTACGCGAGAGATCGTTGCAAAGAATGGTATTGCCAATGTAGCCATCGATATTCTGATGAACTTCAAAGCAAGAACTGAGTCAGGAAATGAGCTAGTGGTACCAAAATGTGTTAGTGCTCTACTACTTATCTTGGATAATTTGTTGCAATCCAGGCCTAGAATATCTGCTGATATTACAGAGGGAACTCCTGGGGGACCTTTACCTGACTCATCTGGGGAGCATGTTTCATTGTCTGTTTCAGAAGCAGTAAAAGAGAGAAATCCAACTCCAGCAGCCCATGATAAAGACTCTGATACTTCATTTGAGAGAATTTTTGGAAACTCTACTGGCTATTTGACTGTTGACGAGAGTCGAAGGGTATTGGTTGTTGCTTGTGACTTGATAAGACAACATGTCCCAGCTATGGTCATGCAGTCTGTTTTACAATTATGTGCTCGGTTGACAAAAACATTCTCTGGCTCTGCAATTTCTCGAAAATGGAGGCTTGGTTGCTCTTTTTAGCCTTCCAAGAAGTTGCTTCTTTCCTGGGTATGATACCTTGGCATCTGCTATCATTCGGCATCTCCTTGAGGATCCTCAGACCCTGCAGACAGCCATGGAATTGGAGATACGACAAACTCTAAGTGGAAATCGTCATACTGGTCGTATTTCTCCACGTGCATTTTTGACATCAATGTCACCTGTTATGTCTAGAGACGCAGAGGTCTTAATGAAAGCAGCAGCTGCTGTTTGTCAGTTGGAGTCATCAGGAGGAAGGACCTTTGTTGTGTTATCAGAAGAAAAAGAGAAAGATAAGGAAAAGTCAAAGGTATCTGGTGTTGAACTGGGGGTATCTTCTAATGAATGTGTTCGAATCCCTGAAAATAAAACCCATGATGGCCCAGCTAAGTGTTCTAAAGGCCACAAAAGAATTCCTGCAAGTCTTACTATGGTAATTGATCATCTTCTTGAAATTGTAATGAAATTTCCTTCACCAAGCGGTGAGGACGATTGCACAAATTATCCAAGTGCAATGGAGGTTGATGAACCTGCTACCAAGGTAAAGGGTAAATCGAAGGTTGATGAGGCAAATAAGATTGAATCAGACAGTCAATCAGAAAGATCAGTGGGGCTAGCTAAGGTGACTTTTGTCCTCAAGTTATTGAGTGATATTCTTTTGATGTATGTGCATGCAGTTGGGGTTATACTGAGACGGGATTTGGAAATGGGTCCACCCCGGGGATCTAATCAACCAGATAGTCTAGGACATGGTGGCATAGTGCATCATGTTCTACATCGACTTCTTTCTCTGTCTATAGATAAAACCGTTGGACCTGATGAATGGAGAGACAAGTTATCTGAAAAAGCTTCGTGGTTTCTTGTGGTTTTGTGTTCTGTCAGCATTGCCCTCTCCATTACTTGCTGAAGCGCAAATGTTGAGGGATAGAGAAATGAGTCATTATCAGGCTCGCAGCTTGTTTGGAAGTAGCCACGGGCTTGGGGTTTGACAGACAGGCAGTGATGGATAGAGATGTTGGCATTACGATTGGCCGAAGGGGATCTTCTGCTCTTGCAGAGAGCTTGAAGTTGAAGGGGAGCCACTCTTGGATGCAAATGCTTTGAAAGCATTGATCCGCCTATTACGATTAGCGCAGGTGATTCATATCCCATTTATTGGTTTATTTGGTGGCCAAAATTTGAAAGCTACCCCGCTTACCAGCTGATATGTTTGTGAGAATGCAACGTATATATGTAACTGTACACATGAAGTTCATCAAGTCGCTAATTTGTTGTTCAAGAGATCAAAGCAAACAAAAAAGCCCAACCAAAAAAATGAGATTTAGTATAGGGGTTGGATGGAAATTACTTTTGTCTCGGTTCATCTTCTTGTGGAATACTTCCTCAAGGAACTCTGGGGTTTTTTTTGGGGAAAATCTTTAGTGGACAATACATTTCTTTTTGCTTTCAGCCTTTTCTGGTTGAAGAAGGATCTCTTATTTTTCCAACCTGGTACTTCTTAATATCTTTTAGTTAATTCTTGTTACTT